ATGGGCTTAGTTGCTCCGTGGCATGTGAGATCTTCCCAGACCAGGCCTTGAACCAATGTCCCCTGCATTGGCAGGCGGATTCTTAACCACTGCACCACCAGGGAAGCCGCCTTTCTTCCTTCTTAATGCCAGCGTGTGGTTGTAATGGCTGGAGCTCTAGCAGCTATTTTATGACCTTGAATATGGATCTTGAATATGGTCACATATGAAGAATCCACACACTGAGAATAGCAGAGCAGAAAGAGAGAAGCATCTTGGGTCCCTGATGATTTCATGGAGTTGTTGTTCTAGCCTTGGACTACCTCGTTCCATATTCCTTTTATGTGGAATAAACACCTTTGCATGGTCTAGCCGCTATTATTTTGCATTCTCAGGTACATGCAGCCAAAATTAATTCTAGCTGATACTCTAGGTTATCTCTTTTTAATCAAATATATTGAGTCTCTGTTCCAGTACATCTTTGAAAAATAATAGAAAACCAACTATTCTGGAGAGTTTAATATAACTGCCTGAATTCAGAGTTTTTTTACAGATATAAAATGGATAGGAGAGTTATATGAATTGATAAATTACAGAGGTTTAATAAAAATAATATAAAAAGCTAAGTATTCAGAGACTAATACATAAAACAGCAAACAAGCCCAACAATGGATTTGAAGAGACTTTTAGACACATAAGTATGCATAGCTAATTAATGTTCACTGCCTTAATTGGAAGTTATCATTAATCAAAATGAACCAGGAATGAAAAAGTATGTGTGGTTACTTTAAAAAGCCAATTAATTTTAGGCTATTTTAATGGAATTCTGACAGGTAAGGACTTGGAATGGATTCTTTCAATATATTTTACAATTGTCAGGCCCTTGTTAAAGTTTAGGTATTCTATTTTGTCCTCCAGATGACAAAGAAAGGAGAAGAATAATAAAAATGACTAAAGGGATAGAAGATAGGTCATTTGGAAAAGAGTTAAAAAAAAAAAAAGATAGTCTAGCCTGGAAAAGAAAAAGTAAAAGTGGAATTTAAAGTATTTCATTAATATGAAGGGTTATTAAAAGGAGGCGGGTCGGTTCTTAATCACTAAAGTGGAACAAAATTAAATTACCTTAAATTGAAGAAAGAACACATTGCTAGAGTGTTTATGGAATCCAGTGTCATTGAAAGACATTGAGTTTGAGAATCTCAATCCCTAGAGATCTTTAGTGGATGAGAGGGTGTCCCACTGTGATGTCTCACCCCATGATCAACATGTGCATCCCTCCTAAAGTTGATACCTGTGTTGCAAAGAACTTTCTAGAAGGACCGCAGGATTTGGATTTACAAGATCTCTTAGAATTCTCCTGATTCTTCCCTTGAAATTCAGTAATTGGAAAATTTCTTAAAATACATTCCAGTTTCTTTTTTTTTTTTAAACAAAATGATAATGGCAAACACTGTTGAGTGTCCACCTGTAGCAGATTCTGTTGATGCCCTGAACATATCCCCTCAGCATTCACACGTCCAGGATTTGCTGATGGCACCTGTGAATCTCCATCTCAGGCCTTTCTCCCTACCAGAGTGTAAGGCAGTAATTTGTCCCTATTGGGGCTGATACATAACCCAGGCACAGTTCTGCCAATCCTGCCTACTAAGTCTTGCTAGCACTACAACCTCAGGCCCCACAGAGTATCAGCTTTGCCTTCATGGAATCTTGCGTAACACTGATCTGCAACCAAGAAACTCATTTTCCTGCAGAGTAGCAGCAATGGGCATGTGACTATAGGATCCATGGGTATTACCATATACATGCCGCCTGATAGAACTCTTAAAGGTCTCTTAAAGGCCCAGCTAAGGAGTCAGCTTGTAGATGATGCTCTTTTGGGGTGGGGCCCTGTGCTTCAAAATATGGCATAAGCTTTGAACCAAAGGTCAAATGATGCTCTGTCCCCAGTTGCTAGAACATCCTCTCCCAGCCCTAGTGGATGATCTATGATTGAGCTAAGCTTATCAGGGTATTTTCATTTGCTAGTGATTGGTTTAGGGGAAGTGGGCTGAATACACCTTGGGAAGATGCAGTGCCATAATAAACACATACTGACATGTCGGAGAAGCCAATTTTCCCTTCTGGCTTTGGATGTAGTATTGTGTAAAGATAATGTTTGGAGCAGTTGCAGCCACTCTGTAACCAGGAAGAGACAGAACATGAAGACTGAGAATGGCAGAGTAAAGAGATAGAAGGAGCTGGGTTCTGATGACACCAGTGAGCCCTTTGAAGAAACCCTGGAATTGCCTTCCTCTGGACATTTTAAGTGAGATAACAGATGGTTTTATTGTTTAAGCCACTTCTAGTCAGAGGTGAGTAATTTCCAGTGATACCCACGGTGGACACTTCTGGATTGGGCTTCCCACATTTATTCCTTCCCATGGCTGCTTCTGTGTTGATGGTGTCCACCTTCCACTAGAAAGGCCAAAAATGCTGGCATTTCCTGGTTTCTCTTGCAGCTAGGAAATGATGTGACCCAATCTGGCCACTAGGACTTGAGGAGCGGTCAGTTGTTAGCTTTCTGAGAAACGGTTTCCTCCTTGATAAGAAGCGGCATTTAGGCCCTATTCTTTGGCCAGATGCTGTTGTGTCTTCATGTGACACTTGAAACTGTGGCGTCCATCTGTGACTATCATGGTCTAAGGATAAAGCCAGAGTGAAAGATGTAAAAGCTGAGGTCCTCAGTGACCTAGCAGAGTCCCTGGACCAATCGTGGACTTGTCCTGCCTCTTGAGTTATCTTTAAGTGAGGTAAATAAATGACATAATTTAAGTTGGTTTTTGTTGGATGTTCTGCTCCTTGAGGCCAGCGCCATCTTAAGTCAAAAATATAGTATAGTATGCTACCTCAATCACGGTCTTCCCTTCCCAATCCACCAGAAATGAAAGAACAAAAAGTTTCTGTTAAACTTTTAAACATCAGCTGGTCCTGGTTTTACCTTATAATGATTATGGAAAATGCTAGTAGTATATAGTTTGCTATAGAAGCACAAACTATTTCTATGACCCTTCACATGAGACAGATCATTAGGTATTCATGAAAATTACAAAGATATCTCCTCTCAATAGCCCTGTAATTGGGAGAAATAACAAAACTGTGAAAGGAACTGTTGGATGTTTTCATTCAGTTGGCCATTATAGTTTCTGAATTGAGTTTTTCTAAAAAGAAGGAAAATGCAGCCAAATTCCATAATTCCCTGAAAAGCTCTAAGTAAAAATATACTGAAATCCTGAATAAAAGAAAAGCAACTGTGCATATATTATTTTATTTTAAAAACAGAACATCTTAGAGACTGGAAACATTACATTTCTGTTTACCCTAAGCAAACAAGATGGGAATTTAGAATTTTGAGTCCAAGGAGTATTTTCCTTTAAAATATATATATCATGCACACACACACACACACACACACACACGTAATACAGAACGAGATAATGAAGATGTTAAGATGTTGCTGGAATTCCACTAGTCTGCTTTATGCTTATTGATGGAAAAAAGATTCCTCCCTTGTAAATTACTTATTTTGCTAGAGGCTTTTCCTGGTTCTGGAACTACCACTTTTAAGGTATACTTCCCTCAGCACGCAGAATGGTGGCAGTCTTTTCAGATAAGAAATTCTGCATTCTATTTATCTTCAGGATGTTAACCTTTGACAGCACTTCGAAAGATTAGAGAGCAAATTAACCTATTTTTCTAGCAGAAGAGCAGGTTGCCTGAATCAGGTATCCTTTCCTGTAGGTAGTTAAACTGGCCTGGGGCCCAAGGTGAGTGAGATTTCTTTGCTCTCAGCCTCATCACTCCACCCAGCTCAAGTTCAGGCGGCTTCACGGATTTTGAGATTCTCTTGGGAAGTGAGCCCCTGCTTTAGTCTGAGGCTGGCTCATGAACGTCACCTTTCACCTACTTAAAGACAAGTTTTGCATAGCATCGAGGTTTACTATTCAAGTAGCTATTTCTAGCTCCTTCATTACTTCAAAACAAAATAAACCCCTCCAAATGTTTTATTTCCTGTGGTATCAAATCTGACTTAATGTTGTAACTTTATCCAGGGACCAACTAAATAATATGTTGGATTAAAGAAAAAAAAAAGCTCAATCCCACTGCTTCTTGGGTAATGAAAGCCATCTTTCTTACAGTGTATTGTACTTGTTGTTTTAGTCATTTGTGTTTTGGTTCGTTTGCTTGCAGTAAGGCAGTCTACCTGCACCCTATGTTTTTTTCCTTTTTGTAGTGTCTAAAGTGAAATACAATGGCAAACTTTAAAATACAGGAACACTTTTAGCTTCATAAAAAGAACGTCCAAAGACAATAATTTGGGGTCAACTTTATCATTTGAAAACAAATATCAATCCGGTATAAGTAGTGAGTGCACTGAGGGGAGATGGGTTATTTGCTGGGTTCGGTAAGGCCAAAACAAGAGACAATAAAGAAACATGCTTTGAATTTTTGAGACCCTCTCGCTTCAGACATTTCCAAAAATCATTTTATTTTACAAAATCTGACAAATTTGTGCAAGAACGAAACAAGTAATCCAATTAAGAATGAAAATAATAACGCGCATTTTTTTCCCTGACCTATATTAAGATTTATGCATTACAGCAATATCTGCGTTTTCTAGTTCTTTTTTCGGGAGACAAGGCGGTGGTCTTTTACCCCAGGAACTGCCCTCCTGCAGACCCGGCCGGCCCCGCCCCATCTCCGCCCCTGTCGTGGCCGCACGGACTGGCTCCCCTCCCCTCCCCCGGCCGCAGTGGTCCCGTCCCTCCCCGCGGACCTGTCCCCGCCCCGCGCCGGCTGCGGCTGGGTCCCGTCCGCCCCGGCTCGGGCGAATGACCCATAGTAACCCCGCCCCGCCCCCGGCCGCCCGCGCCGCGCTCCCGGCCGGAATTCGATAGGCCCAGCCCCGCACGCGCCACCGCCCGCGGGCCAATGGGCTGCTGCCTCTCTGCATATGCAACGAGCGCCGGCCGGGGGCGCGCGTCCTGGGCGGTTCGGCTCAACAGACGCTGGTCTGCAGGCTCTGGGGCGCTACGCTGCGCTTGTTGCGAGTGCTGGGGCTGAGACGAGTCGGCGCGGCAGCTGACCGGGAAGCCGACCGCCGCCCTCTCGCAGTGCGACCGCGGAGGCTGCGTCAGGGTCCCCAGGAGGCGGCCCGGGGCGTGAATGCTCTGGGGGCACAGCCAGGCCTGCATGGGCCGGAGGAACCGGAGCTCCGGCGTCGCGGTGAGTGCAGCGCCTGTGGTGGGAGCGGCGGGGCCGTGTTGGCGGCGGGGCCTCCGCGTGCGGCCGGGCCTCCGCGTGCGGCCGGGCTGGGCCCGAGGGCGGCCCGGGCCTGGGGGAGGGACGCGGCCGGCCTGGAGGCCCCGGCTCCTCGACGTGGCCGCCGAGCCCGACGCCGAGGGTGTGCGCGCTGGCGGTGCGGGCTCTGGGGCCGGCCCGCGGCGTGTGTGGGAGGCGCGCCCGTGGGGTCCGGGAAGCGGGTGAGGTGGGGCCCGGGCCGAAGGGCCCACGTGAGCTGGGGGAACCGCAGCCCGGGCGGCCGCGCTGTCCGGGGGAGGAAGGCTGCGCGGGGTCTCTCCCGGCGCTTTGGGGGCGGGGTGGCCTGGGGAATTGGCAGCTTTCACTAGCCCGGCTCTGACGCCGTCGCTGGGAGGAAACTGAGCCCTGCGGTTTCGGAAACCCACACTGGGGGGGTGGGTTGCTGCGGGGCGTGAGGAGAAATTGGGGGTGTGAGATGGGTCGACTTTGGTATTTGTTCAGGCCACGACCGGTGGTGATGGGGCGGGGATGAATACTGTTGTTTTGGGGTTGGGAGTTGAAGGTTTATTTTCCCTAGGTGCGTTTTAATTCTACAGCAGTAGTGGAATGTGTAACACCGAGAGAGTGCTCACTACCAGCAGCCCAGTGGGGTAGGGATGGTCTGGCCCGTTTCACAGATGAGGAACCTGAGGCCCAGAGACGTAGAACTGGTTTGTCCAGGCTGGATTTAGAAAATGTGCTCGAAGCTATTGTGTATATGGCCCTTCAAAAATAGGGTAGAACAACGTCTTTGAAATTATATGGACGTTAGAGAGAGAATAGGCCTCGTGAAAGTGATTATAGCCAAATAAGATGACAAACAGCTGACACTTATTGAGCCTTTATAACATTGCAGGCGTTGTGCTAAGAGCTTTCTGTATAGTATCTCTGAAACTGTTAACAACCCACTAGGGTGGCGGTTATTCCCATTTTACAGCTGGAGAAACTGCCGTTTGGCTATATTAACTTGCCCCCAGATCACAGCAAGTAAGAGGAGAAGCTGGGATTCAGATCCGCCTGTCTGAAAATCCAGAGCTTTCACATCTAAGCACTATAGTACGCTGCCACTCCTTGGTGGCTGGCTGAATAGTTGTCACCGTGGATTTTTATTTGAGTGGCCAGGAGAGCTGTAGTTTGATGATAACCTTTTTTGTTTCCCCAGATTAGTTCCGAGAGTTGAAGGGTGCTGCTGAGGTGCTCCTGAAAGTGTATTAGTAGGTTATTACAGGGCGGAGGAGGTGTGACACGGGAGTGTGCTGCACAGACTTAATTCTTTTCTTTTGTGTTCTGGCGTCTTCCCATGTACTTCTCACCCTTAGGAATGAGTAAGGCTTCTTTAGTCACTCTGGCATTTTCCCTTTAGACTTTTCCTTGTTTCTCTCTTTTTCTATAGAAAGAGTTGCTTCTGTAGGATGGCAGTGTTGGGTGTAGAGCAGAGATCCACTGGATGTATGGGTCACCTAGTGTCTTTGGGTCTCAGTTACTGGGTTTGTAAGATGTTTGCGCTGGTTGATTTAAAGCTGGAATATTCTGAGTCATGTCCTTGAAGGAAAGAAGGAAGGAAGGAGGGATGGGAAGGAGCAATCCCTGTCTGGTTTGGGAAGTCAGATCTTAAAGCCCCAACATTTTTCTCATTGCTTATGTGCTCCTCTGCTGTCTGGTTCTGCTTAAATTAACCATTCCTCTTTCAACTAATTGCTCACTTAGAGCCTTTAATTCCTATTCTATGTCAGGCACCACGTAAAGTGCTAAGAATGCAGCAGTGAACAGAACTGATGTGAGCTTTGCCTTTACGGAGGAAACAAACATGAAGCAAATCTCATACAAATAATATATAATTACAAATTATGATATGTGTAATGTGTAATGAAGGACAAGTAGTGTGTGAACGAATATTATATAGAGGATTGTGATTTAGATGGAAACCTAGCCTAGGGAGGTTTTTTTATTTTTCCCTTTAGATGGTGGGTGACCAGTAGTGCTTGTTGACTAGACTGGGTACTATATATATATTTTTAAACTTTTTATTTTGGGATGATTTGAGATTTACAGAAAAGTTGCAAATATGGAATATTCCTGTATACCATAACCCAGCTCCCCTGCTCTTACATTAACGTGTCACATAACCTTGGTTCATTTGTCAAAACAAATTAATATTGATATTATCCTCTTAACTATAGACTTTATTCAGGTATCACCAGTTTTTCCACTAATGCCCTTTTTTCCGTTCCAGGATTGAGTCCATGATACCAGCTGGCATTTTTCATTCATGTTATTTTAGTCTTCTCTAATATTAAATACTAATTTAAAAATTTACCTTTTATGAGTTTACTTCTAATAATTTGTAAGAGTGGTATGGAACACTAAGAAAATAAATATACGAATATGTAGAATAAACTATATTACATGTCATTTTCCAGCGAGTCCAGTTTTGTTTAAATTAAGATTGCCCAGTGTCAGTACGGTAGAAAGAAAATTGATCAGACTTAAAATTCAGGATCTGGAAAGGGAACATTTTCACTGGCATCTCTCTTTTTTTTTTTTTTTTTTTTGGTGATACGCGGGCCTCTCACTGTCGTGGCCTCTCCCGTTGCGGAGCACAGACTCCGGACGCGCAGGCTCAGTGGCCATAGCTCACGGGCCCAGCCTCTCCGTGGCACGTGGGATCCTTCCGGACCGGGGCACGAACCTGTGTCCCCTGCGTCGGCAGGCGGACTCTCAACCACTGCGGCACCAGGGAAGCCCTCACTGGCATCTCTTTACCTCTCAAATTCCTTTTATTTAATTTTACTTATTTCTCTTTCTTTTTTTTTTTGACAGATTATATTCCATTATAGGTTATTACAAGATATTGGGTATAATTCCCTGTGCTATACAGTACATCCTTGTTGCTTATCTGTTTTACGTATAGTAGTTTGTATCTGTTAATCCCGTACTACTAATTTGTCCCTCCCCCCTCCCTCTCCCCTTTGGTGACCATGTTTGTTTTCTGTGTCTTGAGTCTGTTTCTGTTTTGTATATATATTCATTTGTATTATTTTTTAGATTCCACATACAAGTGATATTATATAGTATTTGTCTTTTTCTGTCTGACTTTTTTCACTAAGCTTAATATTCTCTAGGTCCCTTCATGTTGCTGCAAATGGCAATATTTCATTCTTTTTTATGGCTGAGTAATATAAACACACACACACGCATATACACATCACATCTTCTTAAGCCAATTGTCTGTTGATGGGCACTTGTGTTGCTTCCATGTCTTGGCCATTGTAAATAGTGCTGCTAATATACATGTACCCGAATGTTCATTTTGAATTAGACTTTTCATCCTTTCTGGAGTGGAATTACTGGATCATATGGTGATTCTATTTTTAGTCTTTTAAAGTACCTGAATATTGTTTCCCATAGTGGCTACACCAAATTACATTCCCACCAACAGTGTAGGAGGGTTCCCTTTTCTCCTTCAGCATTTATTATATGTAGACTTTTGATAGTAGCCATTCTGACAGGTGTGAGGTGATACCTCATTGTGGTTTGTTTGGATTTGTATTTTCTTTAATAATTAGTGATGTTGAGGATCTTTTCATGTGCCTCTTAGCCATCTGTATGTCTTCTTTGGAGAAATGTCTGTTTAGGACTTCTGCCCACTTTCTGATTGGGTGGTTTGAGTTTTGTTTGATATTGAGTTGTATGAGCTGTTTGTATAGTTGGAATATTAACTCTTTGTCAATCGCATCATTTGCAGATATTTCTCTTGTAGGTCGTCTTTTCATTTTGTTTATGGTTTCTTTTGCTGTGCAAAACTTTTAAGTTTGATTAGGTCTCATTTGTTTATTTTTGCTTTTATTTCATTTCCCTTGGGAGACTGATTTAAGAAAATATTGCTACGATTTACGTCAAAGAATGTTTTGCCTATGTTCTCTTCTAGGAGTTTTATGGTGTCGTGTTTTATATTCAGATCTTTAAACCATTTGGAGTTTGTTTTTGTATATGGTTTGAGGGAATGTTCAGATTTTGTTGTTTTACATGTAGCTGTCTAGCTTTCCCAACACCACTTTTTGAAGAGACTGTATTTTCTTCTGGGGAGATTTTTGAATTGATATGGTGAGATATTACTAGATGACGATCTTGCATTCTGAGGCTGTAATTAAATGTACATAAAGCAAGAGTTAGAGAACTTCTAAGCAACAGTATTCTTTTAGTTTCAATGTCTGTTTCTACTCAGAATGTCACTGCAGCTCACATTGCAAGATATGAAAGTGAGAGAGGGAATTTTTTCAGGAAGTCATTCTCCCTGCCTTTAGGGTACTTATAGCTTAAATATTCCTATAATACTTAAACTTTCCCCTTTCAGATGAACAGTTGGGAAGCAAGAAACTTATGTGAGATTTGGACCTGAGGATGGGATTTGGATGTGTTCAGGAAAGCTAGGCCAAAATAAGTTGACAGTTTTTTCTAACTTTAGATAAGTAGTAGTATAATTATCGAAAGTATCCAGTGTAGTTTACACTTTACAGAGTGATTTAACTTAAAATTCTCACCTCTTAGGAGACAAATGATGACATGATTTGGGAAATATAAGCCATTAAATGTGTGACTATTTCAGTTGAACATGTATTAAGCCAATACAAATAGTTCATTGCAGTACATTTACTGAATGCCACCTGCATGCAAAGTACCGTGCTAGGTGTACAATGTGGAATAAATAAAAAGATGAACTTGTAAAGTCGTTGCTTTCAAGGAGATTTCAATTTAATGAATACTAATACTCAGATTAAAGTTGTTTTCCTTTTTAAAGCACTGTCATTTTAGCTTATTTGATCCTCTTAAGAGCCTTGTATCATTAGCAGAAATATTGAGAAAATGGAGATTTAGAGGCAAAATTGCCAGACCCGATGATTAATAGTAGTATATGGGTTGGGAGG